TCGGCGAAGAATACAAAGAGGCTGGAAGAGCCGAAGAGCCTCGAAAAGAAGGATGAAAGAAGAGAAGCAAAAAACGAGCTTAATTTTGGCGAAGAAAGGGGCAAAATTGTCCTAAAAATAAAAAGGACACTGATAATCCTCTCAGTTAAACAATAATGCATAATATATTTATTAAAAAATTATTTTTTAATATAAAATTAAAAAATATAAATTTAAATATATAATATAAAAAATTAATTATCTTTATATTATATATTATAATAATTAAATCAATCAAATATTAAAAGATGTACTAAATGGGAGCCATTATCAGTAATTTTTCATATAAAAAATTATACTAATCGGTCTTCTGACTAAAAAATTGTCTCAATTTTTTTAACATTAAAAAAAAAAAACACTTTATTAATCTATTGTATAACAACTACTCCAACCCATTTTCATGTTTCCTATTGTATAACAAATTGAGAGAGAATCGAATAAAAAACAAATTTAATAATAATAAGCTTAATTTATATTAAATTAGAATAAAATATTCATATAACAAGCATCTAAAGTATATTATCAATTAAAATATATACTAATAACATCATAAAAAAGAAGTAACATTTTTGCTCTTCCATGCATAGGTCGCATTCTTCAAATTGTGGAATCATCCTTTGCATTTTGTCATTTCATTCTATCATTTTCTTCCTTTCTTCTTCATATACTGTCATTCTTTAGCATCTCGAACTTATTTTTTAACTCCTTTATTCCCTCCCATCTATTGTCCTTCTGCAACGTGCACCAGAATAGCTGACATTAATATTTTAAAGATGATGTAAGACAACCAAAGAAAATGAGTACGATTTGTGACAAGCCTGAGAAACCATAAAACCAAACATGGTCTAAGGCATATATTTTAATTAAAAAATTTTTGCGAAGGGTAACAAGCTAATCCATTGATCATAGCACAAAAGATAAAAGATAAAAGAAAGAAATGAAATGTAGTTCAAATGAAATAAAAGTAACTTTTGGGTGTTCCCTGGAGTAACCAGAAATCATATTCTTCATAAGTATTGGCAAAAGCATACTCCAATACACAGGTTCATCCAGATACTTACCAGAAAGAAATTCAGTTTGGTGACAACAAGCATGAAACTGAAATCGTAAATCCAGCAATCAATCAGTATAACATAGGGAAAAATGTTATATATAGAGAAAAATTTCTTCCAATCATACCTCACAAAAAGACAGCAAATTGCCTTTGCCTTGAAAACTTGGTAAATGCCCACTGACACAAACATGTTTCCCCTCTTCAATACCATTGATTTGTCTTGTTTCAAAAATTTTTGCTATCCATCTTACAGCTGAATGTTTTTTCTAGTTTCCTGAACCCTGGCCTCTTTGTATAGTTGCTCATGTTCCAATCATGATGTGATTCATACACTGTTCTTGCAAGCACAAAATCGAGCTACCAGCAACATAAAAACAAACTCCCCAATTTGTATGGAGATGTCAAGGAAAGATTAAACTTTAGAAACCCCTCAAGTTTAATCATTCTCCCTTCTATCTCTCCCTAAAAATCTTTTAATCAATTTTTTATCTCTTCTTCTTCTTATCTTTCCCTAAATCTTTTATTTCCTTTAATTGTTTTCCTTTTCTTAAATCTTTTATTAATTCCTTTAGTCTTTCATTTTTTTATTTTATTTATTCTGTTTTAAACTTTTTGTATAAGATTTTTAATTCAATTTCTCCTTTTTTTTTAAGTCTTTCTTATTGCATTCTTTTCTATTCTTTACCTTTCATTTTTAGAAAACATTGCTTGAGCAAATCTTACAGTCCAAATTTAATTTCGAGGACCAAGAACCAATCAGAATATCAGCAAATGAATAAGGTGACAATGATATTGAGATGTAGAAACAAACCCAACTGGAACTCAAAAGGGTAAACTAGCATACATGGAATAAAAACAGGACTCATACCCACCAAGATGTATTTGAGTTTTTTGTAAGAAATCATTCTTGTTTCATTCAAAATAGATTCCAGTGTAAAGCAAAACAGCACTGGAAAAAACAACAATAAATAAAGCAACTCCCTATATGACTCTTGATGTAGCATTAAGCCCTATCATGAATTAGAAAGCATGGGACTTCATGAAATCACCAAGATGCAACAATATCATGGCACAAGTTGAAGCCAGTATCAAACCTAATCATACGGATTTTGAAGAGAATCTCAACCAACCAAAAACCAAAATCATAGGCAAACCAACTTGGGTCAAATTCATAACATCTTTAGTGTCATTAATATGCAGAGAAATAGAGCAAAGAGCACAACAAAAGCAGAGCTTAGAAACATAGAGGATTAGGATATATATCATGAAATAAAACCACAATCCAAATCCAAGTAACAACAATTCATATTCATATTCCCTCAAGCAATACAGAATCAATTACAAGAATTCAATAGACAAATTAACAAATTCTCAACATTTAAGCTCAATACCAAAATAAAGTCTATTTCACAAAGCAACTGCAAATTAAAATCAAATATTCCTACAATCATCCATACATTCAACTAATCACATAAAATATGAATTCAGATAAGTAACAAATACCTCAAATTGAGCTTCTTTAATCTCTAGTTGCTTTCCTTCTTTTTCTTTGTCCAGGAATTTCCATCCAGATGGTTGTTACTCTCCCTTTCACTCGGTGGTTAGGTTATCATCGAGGATCCTGTCCATTTTCGATTGACTAGGGTTGAAGAGCCGAGGAGCTCAAGGAAGCGAAAGAATCAAGCCTGGTCGAGGGTGGCTGCCCTAATTCGAGAAGTAGGTGGGATGTCAGATCCGAACTGCAGGATGTAGTCATCTGACGATGAAGAGCTGTGATCGCGGCTAGACCGTGGTGGAGAGTGGCGTAAAGCTTGGGTTGTGATGGGAAGCTAAGAGAGAGATAAACGAATCGTCGGGTCTGTGGCTAAAGGGAGGTCTGCGGTGAAGTAAGAGGAAGGATTGGATTAGTGCAGGGGTGGTTGGTAGAAGGAGTCCCGGCAGTGGCTGCCAATCAGAATGAAGAGCCCCGGCGGTTCCCAATGAAGCGGCAGTGAAAATATAAGTTGAGAGGCAGAGAGGGCCATGGAGGATACGGCAAAAGAGACCGTTGAATTAAGTGTGATGGGGGAGACGGAAAGCTCGGGAACTCCAAGGTTTTTCCCTCCTTTTTTTTTTTTTTTTTTTTTTTTTGGTTAAAACCCCATTTTGGTCTCTCAACTCAAAAAATCTCTGATTTAGTCCATATTGTTCACCATTTTAACTCCAACTTAGTCCTTCCGTTAAAAATCTACCTACGTGTCCCGTTATTTAACAGAAAATGATGATATGTCAAACTAAGTCCACATAAAAAGACATCATGGCAAAAAAATTGACGACATGACAATAAAAACTTTTTTAAAAAATTTGTTTGTTCATCCTATTTCCTTTCTCCTTCCTCTTCCTCGCCTTGCCTTCTTCATCAATCATTTTCATCTTCAACAAACAACAATACCCACAAGAAAAAAAAAGAAACACAAAATCATCTTTA